CTACAGCTCCCAGACTTCTCCTGGATTACCATCACCTGTGTGCGTGCTGGCCACGCCCAGGTGAAGGCCATTCCTCCCAGATAACCTTGCGCCCCCCGTTAAAAGCGAAGGTCCACGAGGTTTCCCTCCTCTTGGCCCCCCTCTTGGCCCTTTTCCCCCCTACCCTTGTGTGTCGCACGTCCCACCCCTTACTGTGTTCCCCTCTCCCCATTAAAACACACCCACGTGGGAGCCGCGTGTCCGTCTCTTCCTTTGCGTCCGTCTATCCTGTGTTTGTCCACACACCCACGCCGCCCCGCCGCCGTTTTTTAAGGAATAATAGACAAGGTCTCACTAAATTGGCCTTGGAACTCACACTTCAGCCTAGGCAGTATTTAAACTCTGGGCCCTCCTGGCACAGTCTCCAAAGTAGCTGGGATTATTAGGTCTGTACTGCCAGGCCTAGATATACCCCCATTATTTTACACTCATTCAGGGGATAGCTTTACCTGTCATTTCTTATTTTATTTTTACCATCAAATAAACTTACCTTTATAATTCAAATGATTAGAGGCAGGCAGATCTCTGTGAGTTCGAGACCAGCCTGGTCTACAGGGTTATAAACAGAATGGAGTATGTCAGGAACCATCAGGAACACGGTATCACCAGAGTGTGGAGCTGAGAAGACGGGAGGATATTGTGCACCCCAGACTGCCCTCCTGTTCCTCCCAAGCACTCTCTACCTGCCGTCCTCCGTCCTCCCTGTTCCATCTTTCCCTCCTCTTCCTCCTCCTCCTCTTTTATGACCCACTGAGTCCCCTTACTGCTGCCTGTTGAACCGCTAACTGACCTTGTTGGCCTGGTCTTGTGTAGGTAACCATATCCGCAGGGAGTGTGTGAGTTCAAAGACTACGTCCTGTCCAGAAGATGGCGCAGCTCCCCTCCCCGTTCTCTAGCTCTTGTTCTCTGCCTCCTCTGACATGAGGGTCCCTGGACCTTGAGTGGGAGTGGGTACTGTACCCTTGGCATGTCCTTTTTTTAACACAACAATAGAAGGTTCCCTCCCAGGTTTTTTTTTTACTTCCCCAGGCGTGGGCTTTTTTTTTTTAATATAGAGTATATATTTATTATGTATACAGTGTTTTGTCTGCATGTATGCCTTGGCACCAGATCTCATTACAGATGGTTATGAGCCACCACATGGTTGCTAGGAATTGAACTCAGGACCTCTGAAAGAGCAGCCAGTGCTCTTAACCTCCGAGCCATCTCTACAATCTGCAGTCATGGGCTTTTGCCTTGGTTTACAGTACTAGGCATGACTTTGCTCCTATGAAGCAGGCCTCAAATCCAATCCCAAAGTAGTTGGTTGCCCCACGCATTCATGCCACTGTTGCACCAGAGGGCCTGGCAGGTCTGTATTGCAGCATGCAGGGCTCACCAACAGATAGCACGATCGATGGCTTGTCTCTGGCATAGCAACTCGGGCACTGTGACATCTAGCCAGTAGGGGGAAGTTTTCAGGTCAGTTCCGCTATGTTTCTCTGTGTCCTTCCACTGAAGTGTTCAGCAATAGAGTCTTACCAGTTAGTCCGGTAGGCAGCTAAAGCAATGACAATAGATTGGGTTCTTTGGGGGCCTCTGGAGCCTCGCTGATCAATTGCATCATGGGAGGCCATGCATAAGATTTTCATGTGATAACTCATGCCTTCTGGGAAAGCACTGTCCACCCACGCATGGCGCCTATGTTCAATACCCCCTCCATTTATTCATTTTATTTTACTTTTGTTTGTTTTGAGACAGGGTTTCTCTGTGTAACCCTGGCTGCCCTGGAGCTTGCTGGCTTTGAACCCAGAGATCCTCCTGCCTCTGCTTCCTGAGTGCTAGGATTAAAGGCGGCACCACCACTGCCTGACTTTTATTTTATTTTTTTTAATTTTAATTAAATATTTAATTTGATTATGTGGCACATAGTTGCTAATCTGACGTTATTTTCACTCCTCCATTTCCTGTTCCTCCTAAACCCCTATTTTATTATTTTTTATGATTTATTTATTATGTATACAGTGTTCTGTTTGCATGCATGCCTGCAGATCAGAAGGGGCATCAGATCTCATTATAGATGGTTGTGAGCCACCATGTGGTTGCTGGGAACTGAACTCAGGACCTCTGGAAGAGAACTCAGTGCTCTTAGCCTCTGAGCCATGTCTCCAGTCCTCATTTTCTTTAGCTAGTTTACAAAGTAGTGGGTTTCCCTAAGGGTTTTCCCCACACACTCAGTTTTGGTTATCCATCTCCCACTCCCATATACGTATAAATTTCAAGAGAGGCATGTTTACAGATGAAAGCATCCAAGGAGAGGAAGTAGAAAAACAACAAAGAAGCAGCCCTAGGGGACAGCATATGATGTGAAGGGACATGCATAGGGACACGCATAAAGTGCTCAGAGTGGAACCTGACCTGTAGGTCTGGCCTGTGACTCACTCAAAAGGAGAACAGATGGGTGGAAACAAGGTATCTAACCCCTTGGTTACTCTGTATCTTGAATTATGAGTTGGACTTCAAAATACATAGGGTCCTGGTCTGACCCAGGTGCTAACTGGAGCCCTTGACTCTAGATGGGAGAGGGATGATGAACTGGGAGTGATTGTTCTAGACTATGCCAGGAGTCAGCAGTCAGCAAAGCATAACCAGAGAAATCGAGAGAAGGGAGGTGGCCTCAGGAGCTAGCCAAAGGGGCTGCTGGGCTGGCTTGTGTTGTGTTGGGGCCTTTGTCCTACTGAAACTGACCGCACAATGGAGCTGCGTTACAAGCTGACATGGCATTCTGAATGTGGAGCTGGGACAGAGTCTACGTGATGAAAGCAAATGAATGGTCACCTGTCCCCGAGGGCCACGGCTCTCTATTCATGAACACTGAAATCGTTAGAGAGGATGTTCGACACAGGATAAATACAAATTATGTCAATGTATGATTAATTCACAAACCAATCATTTTGCATCTTGATTTAAGGTAGCTAACTGAACATACGTAGTAGCAACATACATGTTTGCCTATTATGCACCAAGCCCCGTGTTCAATCCCCAGCACTGGGAAGTACACACCTGAAGTACATTCCCAACACACACACACACACACATAAATATATATGGTGTATCTCATTTGATTCCCATACTCCTCCCTCATCTGCCACAAGATTAGCAAGGTCAATATTTTCAATATTTTATGGAACTCAAACCTGGTTACTTTTTAGATACTAAAGACAACTTGGCTAGAGAGTGGCTACAGGAAGGTGGTACATCAATCATGGACCAACTTGGGGGTTGCTATGGCAACTGCACAGCCCCAACTATGAAGGAATGAAGACAAATGCTACCCTCTCCCTGTTAGTGTGGACAGTGCTTCTGCCGCGCTCCCTCTGTGTGCTGAGGAGAGGGATGGCCGGCCAGGGATAGCCAGATTTTATCATTAGTCACCAAGAGATAACTCAGGCAAGTATGAACACATAAAACTGCAAGATCGTTAGCACCCCAAGGCATTAATAGTACTGAGAAAAGCTGGGCACAGTGGCACACACCTTTAACCCAGCATCTGGGGACAGGCAGGTGGATCTCTTGAGTTCAGTGCCAGCCTGGTGTATGTAGAGAGTTTCAGGACAGCCAGGGCTACACAGAGAGAACATGCTAGTGCACACACTTGGGAGGCAGAGGCAGGAGGATTATGAGCTTGAGGCCAGCTTCAGTTATACAGCAAGTTTCCGGTAAAGTCTGACCTACATGAAAACACTTGTTTCAAACAGACAGTGACTGGAGATAGGGTTCCATGGTTAAGAGCACTTGCCGCTCTACCAGAGGACCCGGGTTCTGTTCCCAGCACCATGTCAGGAAGCTCACAACTGCCTGAGACTCCAGTTCCAGGAGACATGAGGCCTTTAGCTTCTGAGGGCAACTGCGCTCACACCTGTACAATTAAAAATAGTAAAAACAAATCTTTCAAACAAGTGCAGATGGCTAAATGCAGTGGTGTCTGTTCCTAGGAGGCAGGAGGACACTTAAGAACTGAAGCCTAGAGACCCACATTGGAGCACCGGACTGAAATCTCAAGGTCCAAATCAGGAGCAGAAGGAGAGAGAGCACGAGCAAGGAACTCAGGACCGCGAGGGGTGCACCCATACACTGAGACAATGGGGATGTTCTATCAGGAACTCACCAAGGCCAGCTGGCCTGGGTCTGAAAAAGCCTGGGTCAAAACTGGTCTCGCTGAACATAGCGGACAAGGAGGACTACTGAGACCTCAAGAACAATGGCAACGGGTTTTTGATTCTACTGGACCTATTGGTTTCGTGGGAGCCTAGGCAGTTTCGTGGATGCTCACCTTACTAGACCTGGATGGAGGTGGGTGGTCCTTGGACTTCCCACAGGGCAGAGAACCCTGATTGCTTTTTGGGCTGACGAGGGAGGGGGACTTGATTGGAGGAGGGGGAGGGAAAGGGGAGGCGACGGTGGGGAAGAGACAGAAATCTTTAATAAATAAATAAATTAATTAAAAAAAAAAAAAGAACTGAAGCCTAGTTTTGGCCACTTAGACATCATGTCTCAAAAAAAAAAATTAGATAAGTAAGAAACAGAGCTGACGCTATGACTCAGTGGGTAAAGACATGTGCAAGCCAAGCTTGACAGCCTGAGTTTAGTTCACGGAATCCATGTAAGGATGGACGAAGAGAAACAACACCACAAAGTTGACCTCTGACCTCCACACACACAACATTGCCTGGCAATGTCTTGCTTTACTCCTTTTCTGGCAGAGAAGACCTACAGAGATGGTGGGCACTTTGTTCAGTTTAGTTTTCATTTATTTATTTTTTATATTATTTAAAAGGAATAATGGGGCCGGGCAGTGGTGGTGCACGCCTTTAATCCCAGCACTCGGGAGGCAGAGGCAGGTGGATCTCTGGGAGTTCAAGGCCAGCCCGGTCTACAGAGTGAGTTCCAGGACAGGTCGGTCTGTTACACAGAAAAGCCCTGTCTCAAAAAATAAATAAGTGGATAAAGGAATGAATGAATGAACGAACAAATAAATAATGGGGAAGGTACAAACCATAGCACTGGAGATCAGAGGACAACTTGCTGGAGTCAGTTCCCTTTCTCCACCAGATGGACCGCAGGGATCAAACCCAGGTCACCCAGCTTGGAGGCAAGCGCCTCCACACACTGATTCCTCATGAAGGACCAGAAGATCTTGGTGGAGGCAATCCTTGAGG